CTAGACGATAGTAGACTAGACTAGACTAGGCTAGGCTAGGCTAGGCTAGGCCAGACTAGACTAGACTATAGTAGAATAGAATAGAACAGAATAGAATTGAATAGAATAGAATAATATACTGAGGAGAAAGTGTACTCACTTCAGGTTAGGAGGTGTGTGCTGCTACGTCTGCAGGTTGGCCTCCTGCCCCGATCTTACCACCCTCCGGATATTATTGATTGACAGATACATCTCCTCCTCAGGATCATAGTAATAAAACTTACTCAGATAGGAGATCAGTGATCTTTAAAAAAGGTAAAGAGAAAAAAGGAAACATGTTCATCAAGAAATCTTACAGACAAAAGTACCTTAATTAACACTTTTAAAAGTAGAATCAGGAAGCAGAAAAAGGAATGTTAATTAGGATGTACTGATAAAAAAAAGTAAGGCTGCTGAAGGTGATTTTAATTTATTAAGATTTCCCTCTAATATTTACTGCATAACAAGATAACCTTGAAAAGTGTTTCCAATTTTTTCTGGTAAGTAGATATATCTGTTGTTTGTATTATGAGAAGTGGCTGTAAAACAAAGCTTCCTTTTAAAATGGAATAAAATCGCAGTTGATATTTTAAACTGCCTACAGCATCTTATTTTAGCAATTAGTTCAGGTAGTATTTTAACCTGTAAAGGATGCTCTCTATGTTATTGTGCATAGATTTTCACCAGGCAGAAAACATTTTTAAATGCAGCGGGTTTCATAGCAGACGGAGCCTAAAACCTCTTACGTAAATAAAATAGATTTCAATAGCTTTGCCTTCCTGCTTTCTATCAGAAGTGTTGCTCTCTCTTGCCCTTTCACAGCCTGGAATAGCAGAGTGTGTTGCTGCAGCCATCTGGTAGGCCTTAAGCCAGCTATAGACTGAGCAATTATCTGCTGTTGCATATGACATATTGGGGCTCATGGAAAATGGAGGACACCTTGGTTGTGTCTCTAAATCTGGGCTTACATTGCACTGTAAGGTGGGTTCTATGCCTGTCAGTTCTAGCATTCTGGGACCAAAGATGACATGCAGATGACCTGACAGTGTCTGATATTTAGAATTTTGACCTCACACTGTGAAAGCTGCTAAAGCCTATGTCTACTGATCAGCCAATAGGAAGGCAGCTGCTGCCAATGCGTCACATTAAGATCCAAAACAGAAGATATATGTGAGGCTATGTATAGCTAGGATTTTTTTAATGATCCACAAAAGAGGATGTGCAAAAACCAGCAGCATAGAGGTAAGTGTTGAATATGCTAATAGCGATTAGCCCAATAAATGTCCATCCATCTTCCCCTGCGTATTCCAAGAGAGTGGTGGTGGGGCCAGTGCCTATCTTCAGCAGACTATTGGCGAGAGCTTGGGAAAATCCTGGAAAGGTCTTCAGTCTATCGCAGGGCAACACATAGACATACAAACATGCACACACACACTCACACTAAAAGACAATCTAGAGATGTCAATTGACCTAACAGTGACATTTTAGACTGCAGTAGATAAGCCGAAGTACTTGAAGAGAACCAACATCTACAACTTGCTACAAGGCAACAGTGCTACAAACTGCAGCACCATGAAGCCCTACTATTGGCTTTGTTGATCTTTAAGCATTAAAAAATAATATATCATTGTGTGTGAGATGTATATACAAAGATTATTTATCTACTTATTCACTATGAGAATCATTGTCAACATGGAGCGGCAAGAACATATACAGAGTTTTGGCAAAAGGGGTAGGAGAAACTGCTGAATGCAAATAGTGTTGCTCAATAACTGGTGAAAACCTTTATACCTGTTTAATGACTGTAGGCACTATCAATATTGTAAAGTAATTTGGGTTGGGAGATAAAAAATATTTTTCCATCTCTTGCACTTAGAGTTAAGCAAGCACACACTGATAAAGTTGCTTATTTTTTTTAGGACATAAGTAATTTAATAGTAAATTGTGATTGCACAATGTGCACATATCCAATTTAATGCACCAGTGATGAATATTTCCATGTCATATAGTGTAAAGGAAGGGAGTCAGGCAGGAGGCATTCATTATGAGGGTTGGGGTCAGAATTAATTAGAATTTTTAAGTTTCTATCTGGCCAGTTACAATTCAGGGTGGATCATGCATTGGACAGTTCTGGTCATCAGCATATTCCTCAGGTCATTTCTAAAATATAGACAAATATTCTATGTTCACATAGAGGACAAATATGTCCCAAAGACAAAGAAGGTTTTTTTAGATGATGAAACATTAACCTTAAATAACCTGTGCAGGGCTGAATACCTGGGCAGTGGAAGCTCTTGAATGTGGTCGATACGGACTATTTGCCGGATGCAGAAGCGACAGAGGTGCTGTAATGACTTGACGTTGCTGAAGCGAGATACAGGATAGAGCAGCTGAACAGGAGTTGGTGGAAGCCCTAAAAAACAAAGAGTGAAAGACAGTCAGCATCACTCTGCTACAGGACGTGCTTTGATTTTAGATACGCTTCTTGTCCAGCAACAGCTGCGTTACTGCACTTATCAAAACTCATCTTGCAATGGACTCATTTCTACTGTAGGCTGTGCATCAACAAAAAAACAACAAACAAATTCTAATTCTCTACCTGGCAGATGATCCTGTATGGTGATACTCAGTGTTGTGCCTGAACGCGTTAATTGAACGAAAGTTCATGAACTCGTTCATATTTTGGGCGAACGTGAACTGAACGTACTGCATTACTGCCTGATGAACGTTATTGTGAACTCGTTCATTCTGGTGTCTGTGAACAGCACGCTCTCTCAGTTCAGCTTCGTTCAATAGGTTGCCAGATTTCTATAGAGGCCTCCAGGCGAAACCCCGGCTAAATCACACCGTAAACAGGCCTTAATATGTAGCGGGAAAAACACCCAATCTGGCAACACCAGCTACCAGTGTCGTAGCCTACAGCCGCATGCGTCATCAAAACAAAATGCAGCGTGGAAGCCACAGCAGCATGGAGGCGACAAAGCAGCAGTATGATCACTTAAAACAGGTTTATGACCAGGTGGTCGGTGAGGATGATGGCAACAATCTTGCATTTCTCTGCAAACTTTGCCCGCTGGCTTTCAGTAAAAAAATCTGCACTTCAGTAACCTTAAATTCCTACCTCAGCCTGGTCCCTCAGTTTCTGTTAGTAAAATGTTCTTAAGGGTTTTACTATTCATGTAACTTGTTTGTTAAACCTGCCTGGTATAATTTTCCAGGATTCCTTTTTAGTATGTACTGAAATGGAATTTCAAATTGAAAAAATTATCAAAATTAAAAAAACATTTGCACCTTAAAGACTACTTTCCTGTTTTTCTTTAAATAATTCCTCATAAAAAAAGACCATTCAAGCAGCACATTTTTCCTGATGTTTTTGAGAATATACTGTAGGGGTGAAAGCTGCAGCTGCTACTAGTGTGAAGTGAATGGACAGCAACAAAGCGTTAAAGTAACAATGGGGAAATGCTGTCCCCTCAATGCTAATGTAAACCCTGGTTGGATAAGGATTCAAAACTGGATATGAAGATGAAATCTGACGCACAGTTTCAGAGTTACAACTGATAAAATGATTGCTGTCTGTGGTTCTACAGTAGGCTATGGTGTAATTGAGCAATATATGAAAAAAAAAAGAACTATGAACTAGTTCATTTTTTGGAACTGTGAACTTAGTTCAAAATTTGGAATTATGAACTATGAACTGAACTAGTTCATTTTAAAATGTGTGAACTGAACTTTGAACTAGTTCACGTAGAAAGAGAACTTTCCCAACACTGGTGATACTAAATACCACTATTTATAAAGCACTTTAAACTCCCAACAGGACCAAAAACAATCATAAAATACAAATGGTCAATCTTAAAATAATAAATAAAGCGGTACATAAAGGAAGTACTTTAATAAAACAGTAATAAAATAATAAAAGAAGCACAGTAAGACAAAGTCAACCTCTCAGATTGTTTCAAAAGCCAAAGAAAAGAAATTGGCCTTAAGAAGAGATTTATAATCAGAAAGTGAAGAGGCCTTTCTAGTGTCCAAGGGAAGCCTGGGAGCTGTTATGGAAAAAGCACAGCTCCATTTGAGTTTCAGATCTTACGAGGAATTAGATGAAGAAATTATGGTAAAGCTCTGGAGGAGTTTTAAGATGTGTTTATGAAGTTTCTAAGCTCTCTTTTCTCCTGTGTCTCTGTCCCTCTCCAAAATATGATTGTGTCTATGATTGTCTTTCTCTGTGTGTTGCTAGGGGATAGGGTCCATCCATCTATAAACTAGTCTAGGACGAAGTGAAAGGAAAACAAACCTGTAGATCATGTTTTTTTTTTTTTTACCTGGGACTCTGGAGCGGAGGAAGTAGAGGAATTTGCCATTCTTGGAGTGCATGATAGCGCGCTCGATGAATTCCACCACAGAGTGGCAGCGGTCTTCAAACTTCGGGTGACACCACAGGCTGAATGTCCCTGAATGCAAAGACAAAAAAACTCAAGATCCCAACAAACGCCAAAGCCCAATTTAGGATTGTTTCTACAAATACTGTAAAATTAAAACACATTTCAATGTTTTCTGAGACATCGATGCAAAAATGCTTGATTTAATTTCCATAAAATGCCTTTGCAACACATGCATGACATCTCCTATTTTGATTTATGAAATGGATCTCAGATTACAAATGGTTACAGGACACAAGGAAGGAATGGGGCAGAAAACTGAACAGGTTTGTGTCATGGGTTCATGTTTCTGCAATCAATAGTAATCATAGTCTGCATCAAAGCTTGTAATACGGTACAAAGAAAGAGGACATAAGAAAGACGATCGCTAGTCGGGTTCGGTAAGAAATAGAAATGGAGGAAATAGAAATTATGAAATTTATCAACATTTTAACCTCCTCAAACAGGAAAATAGTAAATTGCCTATAATTATATAGTGCATTTTGAAGTCAGAGGACTTGAACAAAGCTTTTTACACTACATTCAGTCATTCATACACACACACTCTCTCACACTCATGGTTGTGAGCTACATTGTAGCCACAGCTGGTCTGGGCTCACTGACAGAAGCGAGGCTGCGGTACATTGGCGCCACTAGTTACCACCATCATTAGGCAATGCAGGTGAAGGGTCTTGCCCAAGGACACTACCCGACAACCCAACATCCCTCCAATTGCAGGGCAAACTCTTTCAGCCGACGCCACTGTCACCCCAAGACAAGTTTTGAGAATGGAGATGGATGGAGTTGAAGTTAAAGAAGGATGTGAGTCAGTTTGTTGTAAAGCTGTATGTATCATCTGCATAACCGTGAAATGAAATCTTGCGGTGAGTGATGATACCACCAAGGGGGAGCATGTGAACGAGATGGAGCTAAGGAATGAGCCCTGAGGAACCCCACAATTGACTGCATGAGTTTATGACCTGGCTTTTCAAGTGGAGACATATTCTGATCTCCCAGCGAGATAGAAGATAAACCAATCTAAGGCACCGCCAGTAAATCCTGTGGTGTACCGAAGATGGGGGAGGATTATTATGAGGTCCACAGCGTCAAACGCTGCTTTCAGGTCGTAGGAATCGTTAATGAAGGAGAGCCAGCATCAACATCAGCTGCCATTAAAGACTTTGTTTGCTAATATAAGTGACTTAAATGCCATGGCTGAGTGAGTAAGTGTAGCTCTAAACTCAAAAGGTTTTTATGCATGATGCTTTGTATTATGCAATTTAATTTGGCCAAATTAAGTATTATTAATTTTTATGGTAAAAATGCAAAATAGTTTTACAAGATTCTGCTGATTTGGTTTCACAACCTCTTGTTTGTATTTCATTAATCAGTTTCATCCTGCGGTTGAAAGGGAAAATGTTTTAAAGGATATTGTTAATTACTTTCACCAAAACAAATGGTCATATGAAGGGTACTTTAGATATTGTTAACATAAATCAGATAAAGTGGAAGTCCTTTAGCTTGGACTTCTTGCTTTGGTTACAATATTAAGACATCTGGAGCTCTGATGTACAAAAACATGAAGACTGAAGTTTAGAGGGTTATCTCCTCTAAGGCGTGATGATTTTTTTTTAGTGATCAATCAGCTAACGATGCAAGATGTGAGTGTGAGGCGTCTTTACCTCGATAATGTTCCATACGAGTGTGATGTGTGACTCCCTGCGATCTGAAGCTGAGACTCAGGATGTATCGGGGGTCCGAACTGTCTCGGACCAAAAACGATCCGTCCAGTTTGCCCTTCAGCTTCACCTCCGCATCTTCCCAGTTCATAGGACCCCAGTACCAGCCGCACTGCAAGCAAACACAACACATAAGAACAGTTCTTCTCTGTTCCTCACATCTCGAATTTGTTGTATAAACCTGTTAGAAGATGGAGATAAATGACATTTTAACCATAATTTTCTTTGCTTTCAAACAGAAATCAGGGGAAGAGATCCAACTGGAAAATGTGTTTTCACTGGTTTCTAATTATTTCATGTGTTTATTGTCATGTAAAGCAAGCTAACAAGATGCTAATAGCGACCATATGGCAGCCAACTCAATGCTAAGATGTTTTGATCTGCTGTAAGCCAAACTTTATTTCAACAAGAGTTTAAACACTAATATGATGTTGATGTTTCTGTTTCCAAATATGCTCAATACGTTTGATTACTAAATGATGACTAAAGAGCAAAATCAACTCAAGATTTTTACTCAAGTAAAAGTGTGAACGTACCATTTTTAAAACTACTTAAAGTATAAAAGTAAAAGTAATGTAGGAAAAAATGTTGAGGACAGAAGCTTTACTGCACTACCCTATTAAAGAATCATTTTTCTATAATTCTGGATCATGAATTCCTTAAACTTCAGTGCACTCCTCTCTACTTGCTCTAAATAAAACCTGTTTAACTTTTCCCTGGTCTCTCTGTTTGGTCTTCTGCATTTGGGTCAGATCTTTAGGTAAATCATGACATAGTTAAAGGCTAATTTGACGTAGGTTTAAATTCTTCAACATAAACTTTGTTTCTTAAATATAAAATCAATGCTGAAATGTTCATTGCATCATGTTATTGATTATTGTTTTCAGCCATTTTTATTTATTTTCGATGTGTACTTAGTAGCTTAGTTTAGTTGAGTTTACTAGTTTAAGTCAACAGTTTAGTTTGATGCAATATGTCGCGCCTGAGAGTTTACTAGTTTAAGTCAACAGTTTAGTTTGATGCAATATGTCGCGCCTGGAGTTGAGTTTTTAATAAATGTTACTATTTTGAACAGACGTTGTGTGCAGAGTTAACAGATGGACCAAGATTTGAGAGCAAATCGCACTTTAATTTGTTGTCCTAACACCAGCCAGCTGGGTGTGCGTTCACAAACAGATAATAACATAAGTCACAATAGCATTTGATTGCATGAGACAGTAAAGGTGTGTTTTATACCTACTAGTTATACCTGCAACAGTAATGTGAAGAATTTATCTTTAGTGAAGAACAACAACTATAAAAATTGATAAATAGAAAAAAATTAAAATTTTATTAGAGTAGACAATCAGATATAATAAACAGTAAAATATCAACATTATCTTTGTTTTATACAGATAACTTTGTTTGTGAGAAGTTTCCACGGGTCCTTCTTAGTGCTTATCTGTCCCCAAGACAAATATGTTCTTTTTCTTGTTTAAAAAAAATCTTTATAATTAAAGAGTTTGATTTAAAAAGAAATGCAAAATTTCTTAGTGAAATGTGTTTTTTTAATGTTTATTTGGCACTGCGGGGGGGCCCTTGTTAAACTGTGGTTTCTCAGGGACCTTCAGCCGGCCCTGATACTCGCATCACGTGATATTTTTCCTGTCTGTAGAATTACAGTTCTAGTTTTATCACCGTGAAATGATAGCGGGTCGTACCTTTTCCAGCTCTCTCAGACTGGCTGTGAAGTTGCTGGCTTCAGATCGCCGCAGAGCACACAGCACAGGAGGAGCGGCTTGTCTGACCGGTGGGACAGCACCCAACGACGATGAATTCGAATGAGGAAGGGCCCGGAAAAAGGCATCTGAAGTGGAGAGGGTGAAAAGGGAAGCGTTTTTGAACACAGCTATAGATACGTGAAGGACCCGACCCAAAAACAGACCCTAAATCCCACAGCTCTCATCATTCACATCTTACCATTGAGGCTGAGACTGTGCTGGATGGTGGCTTGGGAGGGGGGAGGAGGAGGAGGGTGAGACAGAGGGAGGGATTGCAGGGAGGCACCCACAATACTGACAAGGAAGGGCCCAGGCTGAGGCCCTGATATGTCATCTGGAAGAACAACAGCAGGGAAAGGTCGGAGAGAGGAAGCAGAGAGGGGAAAAGGAAAACAAATACATTGATGTTAGGATAGGAAATGAGGAAGAACAAAAGGGGACAAAGGTTTTTATCTGCACCATCAGTTAAAATGAGAATCAACCATCCAGCAATTAATGACGTTAATGACAAATCTTCCTCATGCTCAAAGGTTACCTGTGGAGTACCACAGGGATCAGTGCTAGGACCAATTCTCTTTACTATATACAGTATATGCTCAAAATCAATAGAGTTATTAGACAGCATGGGATTAATTTCCAATGTTATGCTAATGATACCCAGTTATATCTGTCTATAAATCCTGATGAAGGTAACCCATTTCATAAATTACAGGCATGTCTTGAAGACATAAAAACCTGGATGACTCTTAACTTTCT